CCAAGCCACTTGTCAAGAATGATGGCATTCTCCGGCTGGAGGCGCGCATGCTCCTCCTTGGTATCAATCAGGATCACCTTGGATAGATCGCGGTTCAGGTATGACAGGTCCTATAGGTATCTTGGTCAATGACTGTGTCCTGCTCAAAGGCTGGGTCTGAGCTATCCTGGCCTACCTTGATGTATTCACCATCCTTATACCTGGTAGCTTCTCTGAACAGTGGCCAACGGATGATACGGTAGGGGTCGAGCTTCCGAAGAACCTGGTCCGCCATCATACTGGGGACACTAGTAAAGAGAACAAGCTCGTAGTACTGGTTCAAGTAACGAAGGAAGTAGTCGACACCTGGCCGCTTGGCAACACGCCATCCGTGTTCACGGCTCCACTCACTATGCACAAGCAGATCCTCCAGACTGAGAACAAGTGTGTAAGGTTGGCGCATATTAGGGTCCTCATCAGGGAGCAGTTTCGGGAAAGCGGGATCCTTGTAGTAGCTGGTGAGATCGCTCAAACGAGCCTTCATGCGGTTATACCATAACGAGAAGCTCCAGCCGGATGGAATGTCGGGATGCGCCTTCGCTTCTTCTTCAGTCTCCCAGTTCCGTCCCAAGTAAGCCACTCCTCCAGCGCCGGCTAAGAGGAAAAAGGCGTACATTAAGTTGGCCATACGAGCCCTGCGGCGATCGAGCGAGGAGACGTAGCCATCCTTGGGAATATCACCTCGGCCATCATCGGTATAATCTTCGGAACGCGAAGGGTCCTCTGTGAGATTCAATGAAGTCTGACCAGATTTTTTCGTACGACCTTCTAGTTCTGCGGCAAGAGTGGACGGGATACCCTGGGTGAGGTCAGGAAGCGGTTGTTGAGGCTTAGTTTCGCTCTGCAGAGGATTCAAGAATTAGATAGAGTCTGGAACACTTCAGAGAATCGAACGCTTACAGCTTCAGGAGCATCCGGCGCAGCGTTCCCCGCTGGATCCGCCTTTGTATCGAACTCTGTTTGTTCCGCCGAGTATTCTGGTTTGGGAGTAGACGAGGGCTGTTCGGACTGCGAAGGCTTGACGGATTCTGGCAGCTTATAAGGAGCCTTGGGCTTAGTGCTCTTTGCGTACCATCGCGATTTCGGAACTGAGACAGCTGATACGCGGATACTGGAAGTAAGGACGCTGGACCTCGTTAAAGGTAGTACAGCACGGCTAAGCATAATGACGATGAGAAGACGGAGCACCTAATAGTATGAGAAAAGAGAAGGCAGCGCACTCATGCTCCGCTTGGGAAGAATTTAGATAGAACTAATAAAGACAGACAACTAGCTGATCAGATGGAAAAGTTGTCTGTCCTGATAATTGGCATATGATTAGAAGTAGTCTCGTTCCAGAAGAGCTTCAGAAAAGTTGGAAGCGCTCGCATACGGCGGGCGGCAGAATCCATCAACGCAACCCTTACCACCGGTATTAAAACCCGCCATCTTCCGCCAGCTTTCGTCCTTCTTCTCTTCTCCTTTTCTTCCTCAGTTTTGAAAGTTGATTCAACCCAGATTAATTTGACCCATCAAGCTCTCATATCATGCATGCCGGGTTGTATTAGCTGGGGAGACTGAAGATTCTCTTCTATCCCACTCCCAAGAGCCGCAGCAAAGGTTTCCAGTGAAGCTGCAGCCCCGTTCGTGGGATACAAATTTTTCTTTCCTCGCAAGATATATCTGGCCGCTGATGTATACTCCCTTCAGGAGCTCTTGTTCCTTAACAAGTCACTAATCCTCAGTTAAGTACAAAAATGGCATGAACGCAGAATTTGATCAAAGTTCACACTCCTTCCCTTAAATATCCACACCGTATTTGTACCTAGCCCCGGGCGTCCATTATCAGCCAACATGGATTCCCTCTCAGATGCTTTCGAGAAGGTAAAGATCGAGGGCCCGCCACCGGAACCCGACATAAGTGAGCATCAAGAGGACGATGACATCCTTGAGGAGCACTCCATTCCTCCGACGCCCTTTCGCTTCCTCGATCTTCCTTCCGAAATTCGTCTGCGCATATATGACCTTGTCTTATTCACACCTTATCGTTTGAAGCCGCGGCGAGCCAACGGAAGTGTAGGCGCCTCAGCAAAGAATCCTCCCATCGCCCCCTTTCGAGTCCGTGTCGCCCTGTTCCTCGTGTGCAGGCGTATCCACGATGAGGCTACGGATTATTTCTACTCTGCGCTGACTTTCCGCGTGTTCCCAATCCAGGATTGGTGCCGAACGCCAATTGTTAGAGCTTTGCCAGCAAGACACAAGGCGTCCGTGAGGACGATCGAGCTGATTCTGGGCTCCAGTTGGACCTCGCCACCTCGCGGGTGGGTGGTGAACAATCGTTTGGGGTTAGAAAAGATGGTGTGCGTTCGAACGTTGAAGGTGTTTATTGAGTGCGACCCATCGCATCCTGTTTTCGAAGGCTTTCGCATATCCCCAGGCTTCTACACCGATTTTGCGGGCAAGATCCTCAAGCAGGTTCTGGAGCGATTACCCCATGTGGTTCAAGTGGAATTTGATGGTTATCCATCGGTTTCCAAAAGTGGAAGCCTAATGAAGCGCCTGCTACATGAGGCGAGGGCAGCTCAGAAAAAGATTCTCTGGGGACCCGAGCGAGGATGGTCCGACTGGGATAGTGAGGGTGAACAAAAACCGAATCAAGTGGAATTTGAAGAAGCCGACTGCCAGAATTCAGTGCAGTAAATAGTGACTCAACGTCTGGCTAAGGTCAGATCGATACGCTATATGACCAATAGATTGAGGCATATAACACGTTCGTGTGGTTCGTCGGACAGAGCCCGTGGCCGTTGTGCAGTCCTAAAAGACTGAATCACTAGCATGGCGTTCGGGGTTGTATTATTACACATTATTGTTTCAGCGCATTGGCTCAACCATTCATACTATATCAAGCATCAGTTATCTATTTGTAATCCCATCTCTTCGGTCCATAGAAGTCAAGCATAGAGCTCCAGAACATAGGGAAAAAGATCGGTTGGCATTCCTCATCTTCCTCCAGAGCGTATCTATAGTTCCTCGTCCACATCCATGCCCGTCCCCTCTTGAGCTCCCTTTCCGCTGGACAAACGCGCCACCGAAGCCTCCTTGTCAATCATCTGCCGCGATACCGCAACGATGTTGTCTTCGATCAGTTGCTGGCTCACATCTTCAATGTCTGTAAAGATGGTCAATAACAAGCAAATCAAGGAAAGACAGGTGTAGGACTCACGCTTCTTGGGGTCAACCTTTCCAACATATCGTGTCTTGAGTTGCTCCTTGGTGAGCTCTGTCTCCTCCTTGACCCGCTTCTCGTAACCTTCAGCAAGGCTCACTAGCTGCTTCATCCGCTCCACGTTGTGCTGGCCTTCCTCATGGAAGTCGTTCATCTGCAATGCCTCTGTCCACACGTGCTTGTGCAAGTTCATCAGCATGTTCTCCTCCAGTCCCGTCTTGCGATAGTTGATAGCGATGCTGTAGTAGTGTCTGTTCAATCCGTGGATGAGCGCCTGGATTGATGGCTTGTTCAGGTGACCCAAGTTGGATGTGGTTTGCCGGGGCTCCTGGCCCATGACGACGGTCTGAGGCTGGATTAGTCGGAAAGCATCGATGACAACCTTTCCCTTAACGGATTGAATCGGATCAACCACAACTGCGACTGCTCGGGGAGTGAGCTGTTCGAATGACTGCTGAGTGTTGATGTCCACGGACGAAAGCCAGCAGCCAAAACCAGGATGGGAGTGGTACCATCCAACGACGGTTTCTGGCCTGTGTTTCGAAGATCTATCAGCGGTGCAACTTTCAAACTTGCTCCATCCTGCCGAGACCTACCGTCCAGTTTGCCGAAGCATCTCCATCATCTTGGTCTGAAAAACGGGGTCCACGGCCTCCACACTGACACCAGTACCGCTCTGGGGCATGGCAAAAACATCAACAACACGAACTGTGTATTCATCGACGAATTCCCCCAGCATCAGGCCCATCACTTCCATAGGCACACCTGCCCGACCATGTCTTAACATCTTCAACAAAGCTAGTGATGAAATGTGTACAGTCTCGGAGTTATCGATCAGGTTCGGGGTGTCCTATAAGAAGTATAGTATCAGCCATCATAGTTCTCAGTGACTTGATCCCATAAATAATCTATATTCAACGGTGACAGAGGCCTTTGCAGAAGACCTTGAATAGACGGCCACAAGCAACAGATGCAAAGTGTGAATGACGCAAAGGGCCGACTTACACCACCTGGAGCTGCGCTTCCCATACCCATGCCCTGGGCGGCCTGAAGCATCCGATTGAGTCGATCCATGGTGACTCAAGAGACTCTGAAAGACTGGGAGAGAATGCAGAATAGCTTCCTCTATGAAGCAATGACGGCGCGACAGTCGGTCGGCGACACACGGGCAGGTTTTCTGTTGCGTGGAGGTCGAAATGGATATCAGTCAATGGAATGAGATGTTGGGTAGCCCGGTTGAGGGAGGTGAGATTAGATGGAGAAAAGGATGACTGTAGAAATAGAATGAGCCAGTTGGTTGAGTGGTGATGGTCCGGAGAATCTAAGCAATATCCTTAGCTGGGCGTGACCAAGCTCAAGAACCAGCGAGCCTGACGGAGGCGGTGAGCAGCTCTTCCGTCTAGTCTCGGCCTCCCCCTCTGGCCTCTGCGGCCTTTGCTCGGCCTCCCCTTCGCTTCCTCCATCACTTATAATTTCCCCAGCCGACAGGACGGAAATTCATTACAGCACCATAATCTTTGATATTGTTCTGTCTTCTCGCATCAGGGCTGGTGCAACTTTTTCATCAGAGATCATCTAACTCTAAAGAATTCTTCAAACCTTTGGCGTAGTCCTCTTGCTTTATCATCACCCCATCTTGAGCACTTCTATAATCGATCCGAGCCATACCACTTCGCCGTCTCGCGACTTATCTCACATATTTATACGCGGTCCTGAGTGAAGAATACCTGTGCATTTATGCACAGTCTCATTTACAATGGCTGCTCCTCCGATTGACCTGGATCTCAATGGCTCCGGTGATCGCGGCAAGAAGGTTGCGTACTTCTACGACTCGGACGTAGGTAACTACGCCTATGTTTCAGGGCATCCCATGAAGCCGCACCGTATCAGGATGACACATAGCCTGGTTATGAACTATGGCCTCTACAAGAAGATGGAGATCTACGTGAGTGTAAACGGACTTTGAAGGCTGGATTCAAGCGGAATACTAATGGGTAATTGGCGCAGCGTGCGAAACCAGCCTCAAAGTATGAAATGACACAATTTCACACCGACGAATATATCGACTTCCTTTCAAAAGTTACGCCAGACAACATGGACCAGTTTTCCAAAGAACAAGGCAGGTATAATGTTGGGGATGACTGTCCGGTCTTCGACGGGCTGTTTGAATTCTGCGGTATTAGCGCTGGAGGCAGTATGGAGGGTGCGGCGCGCCTCAACCGCAACAAATGCGACATCGCTGTGAACTGGGCTGGAGGTCTCCATCACGCAAAGAAGAGCGAAGCAAGTGGTTTCTGCTATGTGAATGGTAAGTTTATCTTCCTGTGCGGCGATTGTCATTATCCAACGACATCTTCTGACTTTTTACAGATATCGTTCTTGGTATCCTCGAGCTGTTACGATTCAAGCAAAGAGTCCTTTACGTCGATATCGATGTCCACCACGGCGACGGTGTCGAGGAAGCGTTCTACACAACTGACCGCGTCATGACAGTCTCATTCCACAAGTACGGAGAATACTTCCCGGGGACCGGCGAGCTTCGTGATATTGGAGTGGGACAGGGCAAGCACTACGCTGTCAATTTTCCACTTCGTGATGGCATCGACGACATTTCGTACAAGAGTATTTTTGAGCCCGTTATCCGAAGTGTCATGGAATGGTACCGCCCAGAAGCTGTCGTCCTTCAATGTGGTGGTGACAGTCTTTCGGGTGATCGTCTAGGTTGTTTCAATCTGAGCATGAGAGGCCACGCAAATTGTGTGAACTTCGTCAAGAGCTTCAATTTACCGACCATGATTCTTGGTGGCGGTGGTTACACAATGCGCAATGTTGCGCGAACGTGGGCGTTTGAGACTGGGATTCTGCTAGGGGACAGTCTAGGTCCTGAGCTTCCTTACAATGACTATTACGAGGTGAGCCCATACTGGATGGAATGTTGAATGCGGGCAGATTGCTAACCTGGTACCTTAGTACTTTGCACCGGACTACGAACTGGATGTGCGTCCATCGAATATGGACAATGCCAACACGAAGGATTATCTCGACAAAATCCGAGCTCAAGTGGTGGAGAATCTCAAGCGGACGGCTTTTGCACCCTCTGTGCAGATGACTGACGTACCTCGCGACCCTCTTGTTGAAGGCATGGACGATGAGGCAGACGCAATCCTCGATGATCTCGACGAAGACGAAAACAAGGACAAGCGCTTCACGAGACGACGATTCGATCAGTATATCGAGAAGCCCGGTGAACTCAGCGATAGTGAAGACGAGGAAGAGAATGCGGCGAACGGAGTTCTTCGCAAGCCTCAATCGCTGAAGCGCAGAAACCAGATCAATTATCGGAATGTCGACCTGGACTCCGGGCTTGATAGCGGGGTTGCCACTCCTCAAGAAGCCTCGTCGGTCCCGGATGACGAGATGGACACCACTGCCGACATGAAAATGGCCGAAGCACCTCTACCCGAGTCTGATGTTCCACCCTCGCCTTCCGCCGCCGGATCGACTTCTAGGAGAGACGAAAAAGCGGCTGCAGAGCCTTCTGAGATGGCTGTTGATGGACCAGAGGGGGTTGCCACTTCCGCTGCTGTCTCCCGCCAACAATCCCCGAAGCCGCAGGATGAGGACACTACGATGGAAGACGCAGGTGCGCCTGTCCCCGAAACTGAGCAGTCGGACAAACCAGCGTCGTCAGTTGAGGGGCAGGAAGAGGAGAAGAATCCAGAGACACCGGCTCCAGAAAAGGCAGCCCCAGAACCTTCATCTCCCATCAAGGCTTCGCCTATTCCGGGCGAGAAGGATGTCTCGGACAAGCCAGAAACGAATGATACAACGGAACCGGTTGAGGTCAAGGCCAAGGAGAAGACTCCTGAGGCCCCTATCGATCAACAGGCTTTGAAAACCGAGCAGGAGACTTCTGAGGATGCCAGTGAAAACAAGGCAGGCAGCCAACCGACAGAAGTAAGCTCAAAACAGCAACCTGAGGAGGCTGAGAAAGGCGGGGATTGATGTTCTGCTCTCTGTCTGTGAAGGCGTCCATCCACTGGAAGTTTCTGGCGTAACAGGGCAATGGTAGTATGGTGTTTCGGGCTCTCGAAATCATTGCATGTGTTCTATGAGGTGGCCTTTTTTATTTTCTTTACATCCTGGTGCTAGCTTTTGCCTTCTTTTCTCGAGCAAGATATGGTCCAATATGACATTGTTTTTATTCACTCTTCGCTAGCATGTTACCTTTCATCAACCAATCTCTCCTGTATACTACCTGCGTTTGGTGTTGACTCTGATAATCCAGGATCTGCATAGATCATTTATGCTCTATCAATGATCTAATATTATAAGAAAGACATGATAACAATTGTCTTTGATTTCAGTATCGAGCAGCAATAGCAGCTACGGACTTTTTGGTATGATTGAGCGGATACAACTGAGCACTCGCACCCCCGCCAAAGGTAAGCAGGCAACTGGTTAACCATCCTTCACTAGGGGTATGGTTAAGTAATCACAGACTAGTCCTATTAAAGCTTAGCATTAGGGCAAGCTCTGTGCTCCAAGGCGGGGCAGAAGAGCCAATGGTGACCAAGCGCCAAGATTTTACACACCACGCACACTAAGCGAGAGCAATTCGAAACCCGAACCGCCGTGCAAACCCTCGACGTCGTCCAGATCCCTTTCGACCTTCGTCGCCCTTTCGCCCTTTTCCCCGTATCCGACACCGACTACGTGATACCTAGCCAAGATGTCTAAGAGAGGGTGAGTCACAATGCTTCTTTTCCGGGTTTTGCGGAGCGCTGCGCGGTCGAAAACGAGCGCACAGGTGGTGGACGGTTCTTTGATGGCTGGAGATCAAGAAGCGTGAGGTGGATTATTGTTGAAATAAGAGGAGGAACTGAAGAATCTGCGAAGGGTTATTTTGGAGCGGCAGTTTTGAGAGGAATCGCGCTGGGATCCACGGGATATTGGGATTTTCAGGATGGGCCAGATATTTAAGGAATGAAATGCTGATGATTGAATTTTGAACAGTCGTGGTGCCGCCTCCGGCAACAAGCTCAAGATGACCCTCGGTCTGCCTTGGTACGTTATTGCAATTCCTACTCTACCGAGTCGAACACAATTGTCGAAGCGACCCTGTGTCACACTGTCTCCTTCGAGCCTACACAATCCGCCATTCATCATCACGAAAATGCCCACCTACATCTCAGTCAACCACCAAATCAACTCTCCCCGTCAAATGTGTTCGACTCATCAGAAATGACGAATCATAGACTAACGTGTTATTTGGTGATATAGCGGTGCCGTGATGAACTGCTGCGACAACTCCGGTGCCCGTAACCTGTACATCATCTCGGTCAAGGGAATCGGTGCCCGCCTGAACCGTCTCCCCGCTGCCGGTGTCGGTGACATGGTCATGGCCACCGTCAAGAAGGGAAAGCCCGAGCTCCGTAAGAAGGTCATGCCCGCCGTTGTCGTCCGTCAGAGCAAGCCCTGGAGAAGACCCGACGGTATCTACCTGTACTTCGAGGACAACGCTGGTGTGGTGAGTACACCCTCTTTTTATTCTTTTTCTGGAGCGGCGGTTGCGGTTTGTACCCGTGATTCCGAGATATAAACGAGGCCATCGCTATCAGCTACGACAGATTCAAGAATGAAAGCTAATCACCTCATTCTATTGCAGATCGTCAACGCCAAGGGTGAGATGAAGGGATCCGCCATCACCGGCCCCGTCGGTAAGGAGGCTGCTGAGCTCTGGCCTGTAAGTTCCCTATTATTTTCGACGCATGCTCCGGTTAAAGCATGAGTAACTAATCCTTGGGTCAAATAGCGTATTGCTTCCAACTCTGGTGTCGTTATGTAAAAGAATCAATACAAAAAGGCGTCGTGACATTAGGAAGTCAGGGAGAGATAGAAGCAGCGATACCAGGGAATGAAATCATCTTTTTTTTCGGTACACATGACACAAAGCCACGAATCTGCATGAACGGGTCCGACCTCATCTAAAGCCGCCCATCTCTTTCCTAAATGACGTGTCTCTCTATTGTTTCTTCTACTGGCGATTCGGAAATACAAAAAATGTTCAAAATCGTTTCTCTTCTTTATATCTTCCCAGTATGCGTCTACCAATGACCGAGATAACTACGAGAGATCCGATGCGGCCGGCTTTATATGAGCAATGGAATTGAGGCACTGCTGGTCTCTATCCTCATACAACTCCTTCCTCTGGGGTGTTTCGAACAAGTCTATTTCTAGAACCGACACACTACAGACCAGTAGTCTTAAATGTAGACGTAACCAAAACTATATACATGTTTCAAGAAATCGCGAAGAGAAACAGGCCAATGGTATATAAACACAAGATCAGTATGGTACAAAGAAGTCCAACTCGAGGAAAATGGAAAAGCAAGTCGCTCGCTGCTGATGCTAAACCTTCAAAATATCCGAGATCGGTCTATGACTTGACCTGCGGACCTTTCGCAGCTACAGACTTTGCTGTCTGTCGCTTCAGTCCAATGGATCTAGGCAAAAGAGTATATAGCAAAAGAAGCAAGATGGTCACGATGTTGAGTACATGGATCGCCCACCAGATATGCTGGACTCCGGCCTTGCACATGGTGATCTCATACTTCCATTCGTTCACGGCCGGGCTGGCATCAAACCAGACGGAGAGGAGGCCTGCGTTGCCGCCGTAGTCGCCCATCATGGCTCGGAGGGTGACCTCGCGAATGGAGGGCGTATCCGATCTATCCTCCTGGACTGCACTATAGCGTTTTGCGTCCCACTTCCACGTTTGCTGGGTTGTATCGTCCCCCGTGTCTGTAGTGATCGACCGGTTCACGAAGTGGACGACGTCACATCCGGTGTGGTCGTGGCCGTTGAGGATGAGCCCATTGCGGCCCCAGCCTCCTCCTGGAACACCTTTGTCACCGCTCATGCCATAGATCCCTTGGAGGACGCCGGTGGCGCTGAGCTGCTCGCTCAGATGGTTCTGCTCCCGTAGTCCTCCCGCTTTGAAGCGGGGGACACCATCTGGCCCGTCTTCGTCGTCGGACTCGTGGTAGGTAAAGAATGGTCCGTCGGTGCAGATGCCCTCCTTCTTATGTAGGGGCAGATGGGTTAGGAGAAGCGTGAAGGTTGTCCGATCTTCGACAGGGTACGTGCGATGGGTGATCAGATCGTTGATGAAGGCGTAGCTGTTCGACTGGACTTGTTCGGATAGCGCTGGCCCGTCCAGGGTCAGCGTGTTGAGGTTGATCAGGTGCAGTGTAGGCGTGACAGCAGCGTTTGCTACATCGCCAGTTTGGTTCTCGCAGGTATGCTGAAAGCGAACATCCCAGTTCGCGCGCCCAAACATGCGCTCGAATCGCTCAATCCGCGCCTCGCTGGCGTCTCCCGCATACCCAATATCATGGTTCCCAGCAATGTTGATGACCCTCCGACTCCAAGCCGAGTCCGTCGTATTCAGCTGCTCCAACTCAGACACATCCCCAGAGCCCGCTCCATACCCCGCCGACCCAGTAACCGTAATCTCGTCGCCGACCCGCTCACCCCCTCCGAACACCCGATTCCAGTACCTGTCTGCCCTTCGCTCAAACTCCTCATCGGTGATCCACTGGCTTCCAATCAGATCCCCCAGCACCGTGACATGCGTAGGACGTGTCCACCAATGCAGCGTACGGTATATATGCGCGAGGTAGAAATCGTTCCCGAGTAAATCAAGTCGTTTTCTCGCGGCCAGAATTGAGCGTGGAACGTCTTCGCGTGCGAGTGTGCGCAGCGCAGCAGTTACATTGCCAAGGACATCGCGGTGGAAGGGCGACCCGGACTCCGTTACAGATGACCTGATTGCAGTCCAGTGCTGCTTGATCCGGGCGGGGAGCTCTTCGTCTGGACTAGGGAGAGAGCTATCACCTTCTAGTTGGGGGTCTGCGAGAACTAGCAGCCTGAAGACCGCTGGCTCGCTCGCGCCCTGCTGTCCGATGTGGTGTGAAAAGGTGTGGAACAGTGGGCTATGCGCGGGACTGAACGAATCAGGTGGGCGCTCATTCTTGTTGACTGGAAGTGGAAATGCACAACCCTGGAAGATCGGATAGAGGTAGAGGTAGAGACTGGACGTTATTGCGAGTGGAACGAGCACGACGAGGGCACGGGATAGGAGAAGGCGGAGGAGGGACATGGGGACACGACTGGGAGATGACCGCGCATTGGCGTGGATATTTGATTTGTAAGGGCTATAAAGTCATGAGATCATAAAGCATGCAAATAATCGATTTTCAAAAGTCGGCGCGACCAAGAAACGGGGAGGTGAAGACAAAATGGGTTAAGGGGATCCGACGTGGTTGGAGATGGAAGACAGTCCGTGTAGTTTTAAACAGATTATTACCACAGCGAATGAAAATGAACCGAGTCACCATGACAGAATCATTCAAAGGTCTATACGCATCGCGCTTTGCCATTAAGATAAGAAGATTATTTTTATTAAAAAAGAACATTAATGGTTTCATCAAAGGTATACAAATAGAAAAGAATTGAAAAGATATCATTCCGGTTTTTCATCATGTTCTAGCCAGCAACATCTTGAACCTCATGGTATATCCGCATATTCCTATGCCTTCAGAACACACAGCAGAAAGGGGTTTGAAGCAGATAAAGCAAACTGCCATAGTCTCAAGCTCGAAGGAGGTAGGGTTTTCGAAAAGAGAACAAGAAATCAGATCAAAAGGGGGTATATCACATAACGCCAAACGGGGTGAATAGTCTTGCAGGAGGACAGCAAGCCGGTAAACTTGCCTGATTAATCGGATTTCGAAAGAGTCTCTGGTAGCAGAGACGACGGCCCTGTATCGAGATCACCAAGAGAGTTCGGGGAAGCAGGATTGTCTTCCTTATTCTCACCGCTTGCGGGCGCTTTGTCGAGATTTAGGCCTTGGATTCGCAAGCCGTTGCGTTCCTCCGTTTCGGTCGACGCTCGATTGCGCTCCTGTTCTTCCTTGGCCTCTTGTAGTTCTGACTCAGTCATCAGTGCAGGGGGTCGTTGGTTCATCATCCGGGCCTGCTTCAAACTGACTGTCTTCTGCTTATTCGTTGTCTCGACGGGCAGACTCATATCACGCTCGATAGTGGCCTTCATCAGCGCAGCCATCCATAGTCGACCTTCTCCGACACTGTCCACTTGGAAGTAATGTACCGCGGGTTTGGTGAATTGTACGGTACGCGATGTCTTGGGAGGCACAAGCTTGAAGAAGAACGGCCCCTCTGGATCAAGCTTGGCATTGCGAGAGGAAGGTGAGGTGGACGACTTGTCCGTGTCAGCAGCACCGTTGGAAAGAGAAGGTGACGTTGGCGATGCCGTGGCGCCGGTGATAGTTGCATGCAAGGCGACAATGGGATCGTTATCTGCTCGTAGTACACGATGAGCGGTGATGTCAATGAGGCCCCTTTCCTCGGTGTCGTTCTCAGAGTAATAGTACGACAGACGGCGGCCACGTAGGACAAATAGGCGAGGTTTCCACGTAGTCATGAGATTTGATGATCTCTTCTTCATCCACCCGGAGTAATCACAACCGTCCATTTGCTCTTGCGGCGTCTTCTTCTCCAGGCCTCGCATATAGGCGCTGGTGTCTTTCTTAGATTTTGGGCCCGCCTTGACGGATGTCCTTGGACGCGGCAAAGATATTCCTCCCTCTGCGTTCTTGATTGAACTTTCAGTGCTATGCCTCTCAGAACTCTTCGAGGTCGACGGTGTAGTAGAACCGGTTCTGACCGAAGCTGGATCGGTATCTCTAACGGGCGAGGCTGGTGCGACAGAGGTGTCGATGCCCTTCCCGACAACATCGGATATGATACGGAGCCCAGCGGTGCGCCGTATTTTAGGCCCACCACTCTTGCTCTGAGAGAAGGATAAGGAAGATGCACGTCCTGACCCTTCAGCATCCGACTTTCCCACAAAGGGGGCAAGTGGTGCAAACGATGCAAAGAAGCCAGAGCTAGAGCCCGGCTTCTCTGCGGACGTTGTGGTGTTGGAAGACTGCGAAGTTGGACCACGTCTGTCGATCACTCGAGTGCTGAGGCTCCTAAATCGGCTTTTCGGCGCTGCAGTCGTCGGAACGTCCTCCACAGCAGCAGGAGGAGCTTGCTTAGCCGTATCTCGGATGGAGTCAACGCTTGCGATGCGGGAATGTCGTTTATTGACCTTCAATTTATCATCGGCGTAACTAGGTTGTCGAGAATGGCTTACACTCCCAGTCACGGAGGTCCGTTTCTGCAACAATCTCCTGGACTTCGTGGTATCCCCTTCGGGACCAGAGAAGTATCCCCGTTCTAGCTCATCATACCGATCGGTCACGGGGACCGCAGAGTCAGACTCGTTCGTATCCGGGCGCCGGAGACCGTGTTGGGGAAGCACTCCTTCGTGGTAAGTGGGGTAAGTACCTGAGCGAGAGGGCACCCGCTGTGATCCGCTGGCCATAGTCCAATTTCTGTCAAATGAAGGCTGCTTGAAATGACCAGCGCGAGGCGATGAATCCACGCGGTGACCTGTGTCTATGGAAGAATGACGACGGTGGTGATTTATTTCCCGGATGGACGCTGCTGAAGGTCTTCTCTGATGATCCATGAAGTTGGGAGTCTGCGGAGTCATAGGAGAACTTGTGGTACTCGGTATCCCGCCACTCACAAGTCGTGGGTGCTGCATAGAGCCGGCCGAGCCTCTTGTAAGGTGAGGGATACGGGGAAGAAAAGGGCCAGTATGGCTGGCACGGCTGAGAGACCTTTCTTCCGACGGCGCAGGATAGCTGGAGGCAGAGCCCCGTTGCTGTTGTTGTTTGAGACCCTTGACCTCCTCTTGGAAAGCCTTGACTT